CTTATTATTAGGCACCTCCAGGTGAGACTATGCTTTGAAGCAGTATATCCATGAAGTAGAAACTTAGTGATTCTCAAACAACGTTCGCCATGGCTACAGTTTGGGTAGCTAAAATATTATTCAAGAGCTATTTGGAAAGGAAGTTTTCAGATGTTGACTGCATGAAATAATTGACTCCATGATAATTTCCTTGTTTACCCAAACAGCTAAAGAATACAAAATTCAWACATAAGTAAACTGTTAGATCATCAGAAAAAAAAAAAAAAAAGAGGAAAATACAGGAAAGGTAAATGTGAAATCCCTGCAGACATACAGAACAGTAAAAGAGAATGGGGAATAATTTTAAAAAGTGMTGATGCTGAGAATCTACATTTATGAGTAAAACAAGCTTATCTCCTTTTCTCCTGGTTTTCTTTCAATATAACCACCTGCTGTAACAAGGCACAGAACAGAGGCCAAGGCTAAATACTGACAAGAAGCAGGAAGGGAGTTAAGGAAAAACGTGCAGAGACAAGAGCAAGATTGAAGAAGTTTTCAAACGGAAAGAAGAGGGGAAGGAAAAAAAGAGGCAAGATTTGCTGCACTGTATTGGCACAATCATATACACAGAAAAAAAGCTTGCTTTCTTTCTTAGATACAGCACCCATGCAGATGTTATGCTTTAGATCTGCAGTCTACGGGCTCTGCTCTGCAGATGTCTTGTGGCAGGTTATGGGCAGCCAGGCCAGACTTGGAGTTAGAGGCCTGAAAAGGACGTGCGACGGCTCGTCAGTAGTTTTGAGGCTTGGCACTAGGCTAAAAGGTTTGGGGACTGTTCCTCTGTGTAGCGATTATTGGGAAACCTAAAGTTTCACAGGCTCGGAAATGCTCCCAGATGGATTACAGTGCTCTACCTGGGCAACATCTATTTGAAATGTGGAGGTAGGAGGCTTTCTTAACTTCGTTACATAGAGATTGCTGTCTGGATTTTTAGTGATTGGAGGGCAAGAAATAAGTCTAGTCTGTCCAAAAAAAAAAAAAAAAAACCTGTGGGAAAAATCAAGAAATGTTTCATTTGTTTGTCCCTTTTTTTCCATCTGGCATTTTCTCAGTACAAGCAAAAAGAAGGTCTTGGTTTAAGTGGATCTGACGTCCGGTTCTTATCGTCACTGGTTTTGGTGACAAGCTCCGTAGGTTTTAGGCAAGAGGCACTCCCCAGGCAGCCCGTTTGTCCGCATTGCTCAGGCATTTTCGCACGGAACGCAGCGGTTAAAACCACTTTGTTGCTCATCGCTTTTATAGCGATGGAGAAATGTTTGCCCTAGGATCCGCGCCATAACCTCATAAGGTGGGAGCAGATTGTATAATAGCGCGATGACAAAGCAGTTTAGGACTGCAGGATGTTGGAGTGGTTCCCCGCAGAAAAGTAAACTGTTTGTTTTTAAATCATTCCAGCAGCCATATGCCAGTACTCTAGAAATTTCCATCCTTTTGAGTTCTTTTTTTTTTAAGGAAGGGAGGAGTGGGAGAGAAACTCGGTTCATATATTTCCGTTTATTTTGAAAATTCCCAATTAGAAGTTGCTCGGTTAGCATTTGAATCCAGAGAAGAAGCTTTTTGTTTTGCGTATTTGACAGGAGGAGGATTAGAAGGTTATTTTTTGTTCTGCAACAGTGCTTGGAACTTCAGTGCTGGAAAGTTGCTAGTGGTGTCTATCAATAAGTAAATTTGTTTTCTTTCCCCTCTTGATTTTTGCCTAATTCCAAAAATATATGTGTTAAGTAGTTCCTGTTGTGAAATCATAGTGCTGAACATGACATTTTCTTGCCATGATGTGTCTATGACAAACAAGTACTTTTGGATTACTGGCAACAGCAACACGAAGGTCAGGCTGGACTGAAGAAAATGACCTTCTAAGTGAGCTGGTCCTGTATAGTCCCCATCACTTGGATGCTGTAGGGAGAAGAATCACAGTCTTTCCTCTAGGAAAAGTCTTTCCTGTAGGACAAGAGGAAATGGCCTCAAGTTGCACGAGGGGAGGTTCAGATTAGACATTCGAAAGAATTTCTACACAGCAAGAGTGGTCAAGCATTGAACAAGCTGCCCAGGAAAGTGGTGAATGAGGCACTTAGGGACATGGTTTAGTGGGCATGGTGTTGAAGRGTTTACGGTTGGACTCAATGATCTTAAAGGTCTTTTCCAACCATAATGGTTCTATGATATCTACGGAATGGAATGGAATAATGGAATCTATGATACACTTGGATTAGGTTTTTGAATGGGCTKTCATGGCACTAAATTGTAGACACGCGACCAGATGGAATTTTTCAACTTAACTTCCTTAACTTCACTTGGGAAAACTCCAGCCTTAATATTTATAAAATTGCCCGAAGATGAAAAGCCTAAGTAACTAGAATTATAGAAAAAGAAATTAGGTTGGATTTGTGCGAACATCTCCTCTAAGTATGTCCAGTTAGATCAGATTGCTCCGAGCCATGTCARGTCAGGTTTTGAGTATCTCCAGGTCCTGAGCCTCCCTGGGCACCTGCTCTAGTGCTTGATCATCCTCATTGTAAGGAGATTTTTCTTCATATCTATGTTGAATTTTCTGCATTTCAATTTATTCTCATTTCCTCTTGCCCTGACACTGTGCATCTCCAAGAAGGAGGTGTTTGGCTCCATATTCTCTGTTTCCTCCTATAAAATAATTTAAAAAGCCTACTCTTCTTCAGCATAACCCATTCTCAGGGTCCTATTACATCATAGGTCTTCGGTCTTACTAAGTACTAATAGGTCATAGGTCTTACTAAGTATTAATAGTAGAATAATCCACATGAAATTAAACAACTGCAGGATGCAACCTTTTCAATCTGCTTAGGAAAGTTCTCTGAGAGATCCTGTGCCTCAAATGTTTAGGTCTGTATATTCTTCCATCCTGTAATGGCACTAAGTCTTTTTTTAACATGCAATATCATAAAGTGTGTTGCCTGTCTCTGGGAAAACCTTTACAAAGCTGTTTTTTTCTCTCCTGGAAAAGTCAATGTTATATACTAGCATTCTACTAGCCTGATGTTTTTTCTGCTTTTTAATGGATTCATTCTCACGCAGTTTGAAACTCATGTAGCACATGTTTACTGGAAAGAACAAAAATTTCCAGAGAAACGTAAAATAATTTGGAATCTCTAGGTCTTTCTTGCAAAGAAGAAGTTATTAAGGAAACCAGTCTTAAATACAATAAAATAATAAACATTGAAAAGGCATCTTGAGAATAGACTAGTTGTCCAAGTATGGATATAGCGTGTTTCAATCAGTGACTTATGAATGATAAGAGTCAGACTTGGAATTCAAAACTTGTCTGACAAAACACTGAGCAAACAATATAAAGATTTTGTATGGTTACATTGCTTTCCTCAAGCACAACTTAGTATTAACTTATTTAAAATGAGTCCAAAATAAAATCAAACCCAGATTCAAACCCTGGACCTTTTCTATAATGATCTGAATACAGTCAAATAGAATTTACTTTCTGTAGCCTTGAGGCGGTCATTAAAATTATAGTTTTCAGTGAGAAACCATTAAGTTGTGAAAGGAATGAATCAATAACTGGCATTTTTACAGAAAGTTTTGGACTTTCATTAAGACATTTAATTTAGTGAATCTTTGGTGATTTAATATGTCTAGCTATGCACAATTTAATGCATATCATATCTTATATTACGTCTATCTATGCTTTTTTTCCTTTTTTTCCTTTTTTTTTTTTTTAAACTGATACAAACATTTCACAAACCTTAAAAGGCTCTGTCTACCTCCGTGAGGTGTAAAGAGAAATGTCTCCTTTGCCTTGTGGCCCTGCTGCAAGGCCCAAGGGCACTTGTTTCCTTGCATATTTGTGCATGTTTTTATAGGGACTTAGAGACCTCCTTTCAGGGTGGTATATTTAAACATGTCTTTATGTCAGTAATACATTCCTTCACAGTTACATTTAGGTGGTATAGTTTAATGCCTACTGCAATTGCTTACCCCAAATTGTAATGCTCAGGTAGTATTCCATTTATTCATGCATGTCTTTTTAAACAGTATATTTTGAACATGAAGTAGAGGAGCAACATGTGCTCAATCAGTTGTCCTTGTATAACCAGAAGGCTCCTTTGAGTTTACATTTTTATTTTAAACTTGCTTAAAATTTGCCTTGAGCATACTGGTAGTCAGGAGTTCTATATGTGTTTCTTCTTCTTCTTCTTCTTCTTCTTATTATTATTATTATTATTATTATATCCTTGCATTATATATCCTTGCAATTTTGCAGTTTCCTAAGAAGTACAAGGCAAGTTGAGAATAAGAAATTTGCTTGATACTTTGATAATTCTCAGCTTGACTCTATACAGTTTATAATTTTATACATGTTGATTATATCATTCTATTACTCTCTTTTTAATCTCCTCCCATGAAGACTTTTCTTCCGATTTTTTTTACCAGTCTGAGGATTTTTTTCCCACTTCCTTCTATATCCATTGAAAATTTATTAGAAGGTTTATACTGAATGGACTTTTCTTATATAATGCTGTATTCGTCATTTTTATTATTGTCAGTTTTTTTTACTCTTTTTGTAAATCTAACTTCACCATTTGTTTTATTTTCAACTAATGTCTGCATATTTAATAGATGTCTTCAATGGGCAGTTTTCCAGATTGGTGCTGAAATTTTAGTCCTAAGGTTCTTTAACAAGAAGTGAGTTTCTTTGTACACGTGACAGCACAAGGCTTAGTAGGTCTAATTCTGATGAGCCAGTTCATTGCAAAACAACTTATCCTCAAAATGGAGTATTTGTTCTTGTTTACCAGTTTCTGCTAATTCTCTGTTGTAAGAAATACTAACATTTAAAGTACATACATATTTTTTCTACATATTTTTTCTTCTATTTTTTGGTATACAGGATAACATACATATCGTATTCCCATTAGCCATTATACTAGAGCTCTTTTATTAGAAGGTAGACTGAGATTCTTTTTTCTCTTTAACAGACTCAAAACCGCATGAAGCTGATGGCTGACAACTATGAGGATGACCACCTCAAATCCTCATCCCATTCCAACCAAACCAACCACAAGCCCTCCCCAGACCAGGTAATGTGTCTCTTTTTTTTGTCTTTTAAACTAATTTTTACTATGGAGTCTGTTTATTTTGAGCTGTACATAATTTTCTCTGACATGTTTGCAGTACCTTGGATCAAAAATAACATTCCACGGTGGAGTTATAAAACAGAAATGGATGCTGCACTTTTGTCGGCTTCCTTGAAAACTCCCGAAATATGAGCGAGCCGTTCCCAGTACAAAGCTGTTATTAAGTGGGTGGAGGTGAAGGAGCAGACAATGAAAGGGAAGACAGAAATGTTACTGTCCAAAAATGCAGGACGGGACTCTTAGAATCATAGAATCCTTAAAGTTGGAAGGGACTTCTAGAGATCATCTAGTCCACCCCTCCTCTTTTCTCGAGCATATTTGGATTTTTAGAAACTTAAGCTCACTGCTTGAGTAAGCGGAGTGTCCAGGACTGTTTCTTGTCTTGAGTAGCAGGAAATCGTGCTCAGGATCAGCTTTCTGATCTATGGATTGCATGTGAGCACTTCCCTTCATTTCCCGGGAGGGAGCCCTGGCCCCTGTGCCAGACGAGCGCAGGCTGCTCCCTCGCAGGCTCAATGGGCCATGGACTGAAGGAAAATCAATTTACCATCAGCGTGTGCCGTTTACAGAGCACAGCCGTGAGTCTGATAACTATCAGAGAGATTGCCTATCCCTTGGGTAGCCCACAAAATGCCAATATTATTGCATAGCCTATGTTGTAATCTCTCCTGGTCCAGTTTAATTATAACATTAGCAATCATTAATCATTGTCTTGACCAAGTGCAGGAGCGTTTGGCACTCCTCGCTGCCCTTTGGCTGAGCTAGAAATAGTTGAGGCCTGAAGGAAGGCATCTCACTCTAGACCTCTAAGTACCAGCTCAGTGAAATAACAGAAATTATGAGTAAGGCATGCAAGGAAAATGATAAACAAACAAGTACATATTCACCTTACTAACAGAGATATCTAAAATTCTCTGCTTGTCTATATCAGAGAAAGGTGTGGGGGATGCAAAGAGGAAGGGGTAGAAATTTTCTCATTTTCAAATCACCCTCCTCTCCTTTCATACCCCCTCCTAGATTGTAAATGAAGATCTGTAAGTAGAATGACTTGAATTTTCTGGAATCTCTTTGGAAAATATCGATCATACTTTCTTTAGGAAAGCGCAGTTACTACTGCAAATTGTGTTGTTCTCATAATCCCAATTTGGAGGAAAATTCAAGAGTATCGATTGTTTGTACACAGCAAGTCTGCAGAGAAATCAAGTCGTTTTCATAATGCAACTGTAGCACATGCTTAAAAAGCAGCACAGGTGGCATTCACAGATGAAATGAAGAGATAAAAATTAAAGGAATAAGGAAGTTATTGCAGGGGCATCGTGGGGGAAGTGGGTTGGAAAGGGGTGGGGGGGGAGGATCTACTTGCCCTTTCCCGGTATGTAGGGACATTTTAAAAGACCTCAAAGCTTCCAAGAGCACAAAGCATCCAGGTGGCTCCGAGTCTTGCTCCGGGAATTAAAAGAACGCTTTTTGTTTTACTGCTGTTTGTACTCACCTAATGTGCTTTAAATACTAACCAAGTCTTTATTTCRTTCCCATGCTGCGCTGGGGCTCTGCCCCGCTGGCCACCTCTGCGCCGCTAGGATGAGGAGGAGGGTATTTGGGCATAACGAGTCAGCTGCTCTTAGTGCAGCCATTTTGTTCAGAACGGTGAGAATCCCCTGCTCCTTCCAGTCCCAACAGCGATGCCTCCCCTGTCCCCTCGCYCCCGCCTCCCCGCTTCCCGTGCTTCCCTCCTCTCTGCTCTGCATGCGGCTGTTGCTCCTCTCGTGATTTCCACGTTGGGGTTTTCTGTCTGCCCATAATCAAGCCCTTGCCTCGTGCTGTTGTGGGGAGAGCYTTCCAGGGCATGTCATGGGGTTTACGTGCGAAGCAAGCGGCTAATGCCTCTGCGAGAGCAGGAAACGTCTCTCCTATAATTTATCGTTTACTTCACGGAGCAAATGTTTTCAGGAAGATTCGTTTTCAAAGCACTTTGCACCGTAGCCAAATCTCTGTGTGTTTTTTCAATTCTGCTTAGCAATGAATTTGCTCAGAGATGTTGTTCCTTCAGGAGAGCAGGGCATTTGAGCACGTTGAGATGTGCTGCTGAGATTGCTGCCACATGAACTGACCTAAATAGTCACAGATACTTATTTGCTCACAATAGATGATTCTTGATAATGACCAGGAATTTAATTTCATATAAACTTTGAAGGCAGAAAAGAACATTGCCTTAACCTTCCTCTCTCCCAATCCTCATTGTTCTCTGGAGRAAAAAAATAAAATAAAAAAGGAGGGAGGAGAGAATTCTGCTTAAATGTCCAAGCTCAATTTGTTTCTTTAAATCTGACTCTGTAATTTACCTTTTCTGCTTCTCTTCTTTTCTAGAAGAGAAGGCAGTGCTCAGGAATACGCCCTTGTCTTTGCTCTGGTTCTCTTGTCAAAAAGACAGTAAAAGTCCATTTACTGACCAGGAGCCTTGAGACACAGTTACAGAGATCAATTATAAGGCTACAATACATAGGATTCATTTTTGTCTTCGGGAAGATGAATCTCTTTGAAATACTTAAAAAAAAAACTTTTTAAGGGATTGAGATATATTTAAAGATTTATATGAAAAWTTTTCACTTATCCTTATAAGAAAACATATTTCACATGATTTTTTTGCAGTCTTTCTCAGAATTTGATTCTTTTTCATATCAGTTATTTGAAATAATTTTCCTGAAAATTTCTATGGCATTTTTGGACCTTGCATTTCTGAAAATCATTACTCTGAGAGGTGTTTTTTTTTAAATATATAAAAGATACACTCTTATCTCTTCACACTTGCTTAACTGCAGAGTACGTATCTGTCTGACTGCTTAGATCAGATCCCTCTTTTCAAGTCAACCATCTGAAAAATGTAATCCAGCTGTGGCAATGTCAAACTTGCATTTCATGCCTTGGAGTTTAAACTGAGAGAATCTCTTCTGTGGTAAAATCGATAACGTGCTTCATTAATTTACAATCCTTGCTGGTTTCACCTTCTTTTTTGAGTTGCTACTCTTGTAAGGGTTGTGTGTTAGTATATGATTGTAGACATTGTAGAGACTTGCGGTGTTTGTAAAGATTTGCTGAAGCGTTTCACTTAAACACCAAGGATCAGGTAAGTAAAGGATGAAAAGGAAGAGCACCTGCACTCTGAAGATAGGCACGATACTGGTTTTTATTCTAGAGCGAAAATGAAGGTTGTGTTGCAAACACTGACTGAAAAGTACTTCTCTTTTCCAYTCCCAATTGCTGACATGTTGGTGAATGCGGCTGTGCCAAGAAGTATGGTTTCTCTTAATTTGCTATATGAAGGCAGGGATGGTTCACATAGCAATCAAACCCCTCCTCTTTCTCCTTGACRCGTTTTCCTCAACTTCCACACTATGGTAGCTGCGCAAGGCAAGTATCCTGCTCATCCCCTTTGTAAAAGAGAAGATATTTTAAGTGACAGAGTCCCCGTTTAAAATTAAATATACATATACAACAATGTGTAGGTTACAGTGGCAAAAAGAAGACTAATAGCATAAGGCTGTGAGCTGACCTTGTTCTTTACAGTTCCTTCAGATTTGAGGAGGTAGTCACCTCTGGTCAGTACTGAAGATAAAGTGGAGATCACTGAAATATGTAGAATAACAAACTACATTAATTTATTTGTATGCTTTGGCATTTTCATATTCTTTTCCCTGTAGCATTCTGGAATTGGCCCAAAGTGTTAATATTCAAATATGTCAAATCCGTATGTGATCCCACTATTGTACGTAGCTCCCCTGAAGTGGAGCCTTACTTCTAAACATATGTGCACTTCCTGTAGTTTCAGAGTACGGTAGTTTACATTTCAGTTTACAGGTCAATGTAAATACCATTTTTCATCCTGAAATATTAAAATACTCTTTCCTAGTGTTTTTCTCCAGCATTGTTTCCTTGCAGTCTGAATTTCTTATGACTTCTCTTTTTATTCCCCAGATGGAGCTCTGTGCTCCTCTATATTCAAGCATATTCACATGAGCTTGTTTGCTAGGATGCTGTTTTGTATTTTTGAGATCATTGCTTTGATCTTCATTGCTATAAAATATAATAGGAATTTAGCAATGTTATGATATCTAATGTATATTATATATGTGTGCATGTGTGTCTATATGTAGACATATGTACATATGTATTGTGTGTGGGCTGTGTAGAGAAAATAGAGCTTCCATACGTAACCTTCTCRAGCTGCTCAGCCCATCTAGTTTTCTTCAGTATGGCCAGGCTATCTGCTATGTTATAAAGCGTGGRCATGGTCCAGATCTTCTTATGTTACCATATTCCTGGTTTGCAGTAGGAATCTGGTAGATGCCCTCACCATACAAGCTTTTAGGCTCTCAGTCCATGGAAGCGTTTTGTATGAACAGTTGCCAGAAATCTGTGAAGTCACGGATATGCCTCTTAAGGAGCTAAACATTTGGTTTTGCTGTTCTTGAATTCCAGGAACTAAAATCTGAAAATGAATGTTATGCTTTTTAGAGAACAGTGGAGTGGTCAAAGAGCCAGCATTTAGCAGGAGTGTATAAAAATGTTGCTTTTTTCAAGATGATGAAAATATTGGCAAGTTCCTATTACTTACTGTAAAAATATGGCAAGACAAAATGCCTCTTATATTTGACATTTTTATTTCATACTTGACTGATACAAGTTTTCACAGAAAAATATGCGTTGTGTATTGACTGCCAAATACCCAGCTAGCAAGTCTCCAAGGATTTCAGAAGGTGATGTCTGTGGTGGAAGGAGGGGTTAAGTCATGATGGGAAATTATTTGTATAATTTTTTAATAACAGGGAAACGGTCATTTCAAGTAGATTCATGGATTTCATGTCAAAAATACTATAAATCATCATTTGCAGCATCACTAGAATGCATGTGTACATTGTGTAACAAAGGCTACATTTCTARTGTTA